CGCTGTACGTGGAAACCCTGCTGAACAAAGGACCAGTCAGCTCCTTCATATTAACACAGTGTTTTCAGGGATCTGGGCTGTTATGTGGTATTTTGGTTTTTGTTTTTAATTTAAGCTCTGAATTTCCATTGTATCACCACAGGTTTTCTGGTTAGCCCTACTTTCCCCCCAAGATTGTCTCCCTTTAAATCCAAACCCAACATCTCCAGTCGATATTTTCCAAGCTCCAAACGGGGGCATAACACAATACAAACACCTGCAAAGGGGGTAGCGTATACCCCGCCATTGTATGGCTCTGAAAACAAAAACTGAATTCATAGATAAGTGGCCCCAAGGCCGCTTTTTAGTAAGAGGTGCCTACAGCTGTCTGCATCTTGCACCACGTCACACACTGGGGACACACAGAACTTCTTAAAAAATGATTTTGATTTTCCATCTATTAGGATTTAGTAAAGCAGAGCACATCTTCAAAAGTTAAAATTAAAAGCACGGCTGTTTGGGGGCACCTGGTGGCTCAGTCGGTTGACCACTCAACTTGGTTTCAGCTCAGATTGTGATCTCAGGGTCGTGAGATCGAACCCCATGTTAGGCTCCGCACTCAGCGGGGAGTCTGCTTGGGATTCTCTCTACCTCTGCCCCTCCCCCTCCGCGTTCTCTCTCTAAAATAAATAAATCTTAAAAAAAAAAACCCACAAAAGTCCATGGCTATTTCAGTAGCACATGGAGGTGAAAGAGCACAGCAGTTCTAATCACTTGGGAATAAATTCCCCTTTTCTCGCTAAATCCACTCTGAAAGATGCACCGTGAGGAGATCACGGAAACTCGACCCGACCAGGTTTGTCAGCGGACACTGCAGCCCGCCCACACTACGGGGCTTCCTAGCAGTTGTCAGAAGTGGTGTAAAACAGTCTGGCATAGAAACGCCCTGAATAAAAAGGGAAAAATGATCACAGGACAGTATTTCAGCATAATCCTCCTTTTTGGGGAACCATCTCCAAGAATATGTGACCCAACGTCCTCAACAGTTACCTCTCAATGGGAGGGAAATGTGGTGAGTGTAATGTTTTAACTGTCCAAATCCCTAAACTTTTAATATATGATGTAGCTTTTTTCACTTTGGGGGGAAAAATGGTCCGACACGTCAGGAAACGAAAAGCAGAAAGCCAAGGTCCCTAACCCCCGAACTGCCCAGCAGTTCCCCTGCCGGGCTGGCTTCGGTGCCGGGACTCGAGGATGTTCTTCCCAACAGCGTGGTTTCCCAACGAACTGGCGCTACATTTGTGTGTAACTTTATACGGGGACTGCAGCAAACGCCCTAGGACGCTTGGCTCTTCACCCTTCCTCTAAGGGGCAAACTTCCGTACAGTAGCCAGATGTGCAGTCAGCCTCAGTGTGCACTGGCTGGTGAAAAGACAAGGAAAATGAGATGTGGACAGGGAGTATTACTCAGCCTCCAAAAGGGAAATCCTACCGTTGATGTGGATGAAACTGGAGGACACTGTGCTCGGTGAAATAAGCCAGACGGACAGTAGCGCATGGTGATAATTCTACGTGGGTCCTAAGCGAGCCGAACTCCGAGAAACAGAGTAGGGTGCTGACTGGGGGGGACGGGCGGGGGTGCCAGAGGGGCCAGGGGAACGGGGAGGAACTGGTCGCAGGGCACAAAGCCTCAGCTGCGCACAACAAGCGGGTTCTGGAGACCTAACACAGAGCATGGTGACTACAGTTGCTACCACCACGTATGCTTGGAACGCGCTGAGAACGGATCTTCAGTATTAACTACAGAAGCGGACATGGCGAACAGCTTGGTTTCGTAACCAGTTCACGTGTGTCAAGTATCATGTTGCACGCCGTAAACGTAAACTTTAGTTGCCCATCACACTTCCAAAAAGATGGGAGGAAGAGGAGTCGTCCCGTAAAATGATAGTACCTGGTGGGGTGTCTGCTCAAAGTTTCTGCTGCACGTTTGTTGGACAAGTCACGGTTTGGTCGTAACGTAAAGGAAGGTCAACCTCCCTTCCCTGCAATACTGCAGCATGGAGGGGACCTCGGTGGGCCAGGGCAGGATGGCCACCGGTCCCTGGGCACCCATGCCTGCCACCAGAGTAAGCTTTCAAACACTCCTGACCCTCAGGGGCTCCCCACCGCACCACGGGGCTCTGCTCCCTTGACTCGGAGCCTTCCCTCCTCCACCCCCCACCCCCCCCCAAGTGGATGCGATCCCTGCTTTCAGAGCGGTCTAGCTCTGCACAGCAGCTCACTATGGTCCTAGCACTTTCTGCAGCTCCTGGACCACCCGTCTCCCACTGGGGCCAAGCATCTCCGAGCACGCAGCTCAGGAGGTAAGCAATCCCTACCCCCCTCGTAAAAGGACTACTCACCTGCAAAGGTTTTCCACTCTGCTTCTCAGAGGAAGGCAACTGAAAACCCACTAAATCCAAGGTCGCCCCTCCACTTGTGTGGCTGAACAGACAGCACCAGACCCCTACTATGGAATTCCGTGGATCCCACCAGGCAACGTTCATTGTGCGAGCTTTCCCTCCTCTAGGAAACCGAGCTGGAGTAAGTGGATAGAGGCAGCTGCCAACTACAAACTCCAGGAGGAGACGCTCCCCTCGAAACCCACCCTCTCCAAACACGTTCCTCCCCTCCGGCTCCCTCAGGAGGGCAGGACGGGGCGGAGACCAGTGCCCCCACAGATCGGACCAGTGAGGGGGGCAAATCGACGCCTGCACCCAGCGCTGAGGTGCAGCTGTGCGCAAACCACCACGGGAGACCAAAGGGGCATTCTGGGGCCTGCACAGAGCTGCGGTGGGGCGGCCGTGGGCAAGGGACCCCAAGGGCGCTCTGCAGCGCTCAGGCCCACCTTTTACCGCAACAGGGCTCCAGGTCTGAAAGTCAGAAGGTGCGGGAGGGGTGATGAACTTCAACGCGGGCTCAGCACCTGCCTCGTGTGACTCTGGAAACAGGCAGGAAACCTGCAGCCTAACATGGTGAACGGTGTCACCGGAACACCTCGAGTGGGTCCCACATGCACGACTAGCAAATCAAATGAAAACTTCAGCCACGTGCTCACCTCATTTTCTAAGATAAAGTGATGTTTTCACAAAAGAAATGAGAAATTCTCACTTGAATTGCTTTGTACACATACACTTCTGAGCCAAGAAATCAGTTCTTTTAAGTTTAATGTATTTTTGCAAACCTCTACCGTTTCCCAGATATGTGGATAGCAGAGAAGCCACTGTACGTTAAAGTGGCCACAGGACCCCATCAAACTGCTCTGCAGACACTCTGCCCTTCCTGCATCTTACCAGTGCTCCATACCGATTTTGCTGAATTGTGACAGGTCACCAAATAGGATGAACACCGTCCAAAGGAACGAACGCTCCACATGCAACGTGTGAGCCAAACCATCCTCATCCCTACAGCCCATGCTCTAACAGACCCCTTACGCGTCTGCACTAACTCAGCAAGGGCATGGGCTTCCAACGCAAGGCTTCCCTGTTACACAGATTTCAAACTGAGGGGAAAATGTCCCCCACGTGCATAACCTGCATAGAAACGTACCCCTCACAAGGAGGTAATGCATGCTAACGATTCAGTATTTCCCAGGGAATACTAGAGATGATCCAGAAAATCCAGACAAAAAAGAAACAATATATTTTGCAGCAAATTTTTCTTTCAGTAAGACTTGTAAATTCTCTCCCACCCCATATTAAACAGGTAAGTGAAGCAGCTTCCAAATTTAACGGTTACATTTCAGATTCTGAGTAGTCACGTCACGCTTGCATTCCACACAGGTCACAAACACGTATGCCTTCTATTATGTATCTGAAAAAGGTTTCATCCCAATTGGGGAAGAATCTTTTCAAGCCCCAGACTTAATCTGGTTTTGAACCGAATATAGCATAATGTATACAGCAATTCAAATCTGTAAGTAAATCTATAGATACATTTACTCAATATTGAAATTTATTCAATTCTATCCTTTGTATTTCACTTTCTTCATATATTTAAGCAATCCCTACCTTCTTTTTAGGTAGGAAGTAATCATTTAAGGAGAAATGGACATCTAAAGAGCTTTGGTAAACTGAACTATAGCAGTGCTCATATGAGCAAAATCGCTTCAGGCTCCTCTAACTGCTACAGTATTGTGCCGACAGGGTCAAACTCAAGCAAACTAGATCCAACTCATTTTTAAACGTGGAAATCACACAAACATAAATGGTCTCATCCAATGAAACTTTTGCAATGTTTCACATTTACTGAGGAGCCATTCTAAGGTCTACTCTTCTATTTAGTATTTGTGTCCTTGAAACTGGCCACAAAAACCCCTCAGAAAAAAAGCATCAAAGCTGTGAGGTGTTCAACTTAAATCCTTAATGTTCGGCATCTTTAAAGCTTGGGAATACTTGAAAGCAGCGGGTAAACGTGGAACATCTTTCTAGAATACCAATTTTACATTAAACGTGTAACATTAAAACAAAAAGCAAATAAATGCATAACTTACACTCATTTTTAACAAATATTTGAGACGTCTGTCAAAGTTCCTCTCATCATTTGTATGGTTTGACCGGACTCTGAAAATGCCTACATCAGAGCCCGGTTACTTCTGCCACGAAATAACAGCAACTGTAATTCTTAAAATGCCTATATCCGGACAGTCTAAAACATGCAGTTTTGTTCTGACAGGTCACCGAAGTCTCAAGCTCTTCCCCAGGTGACTCCACCTAGTCAACAGGCAGGTGGGATAGACATTATTTGAGCTTAACCACACCGATGGCGTTCACACCTCGTCAACTTACCAAACAATACTGCTGACACCTGCCCTATCGCTTTTGTGAGAGGATTCAAACGTACAAGAAATAGACATAAGAATTTAACTTGCAAGGCTTCAAATCAAGTGAGAATAGCAAAGGCAATTTAAACAGTTAACATGGCACAACTTTCCCTGTTAGTGGTCTTAAAATGCTTACCAAACAAGGGAGGAGTTCACTTGCTTAGATATTTGAAATACAACTTTATTCTGATTCTAAACGAAAAGGAATGGGAATGACAGTGACAAACGAGATTTCACCACTTGATATTGTGATGGGACTATAGCAGTCTCGTATCTGAAACTCAGGAAGGAAACAACTGCGTTCCAAAACAGCTAAATATGCAGGTCCAAAAAATGAAAGTACTTTTTAAACTGCCACATTCACTCCGAAGCCCATTCATCTCCTTCAGCATCCCAAAGATTAAGCACATGTTCTGCTCAGCTATATAATAAAGTGGCAAACACGCTGCACCACTGACATCACAGGACAGTTGCCTATAAAACTAGACTTCTGACGCTGGGCTCCAGCTGCACGTTCTCACAGGTCATCATCTTCATCCGGGAGAGCAGTTGTCTGAGCAACCTAGACAAAGACACAACGAGCAATACCCTGGATTAGAGCCATCAGGAACAAAAGATGCCGAAATGGACCACATTGCCGGACACGTGAACATCCTACCTCTAGATCATGCTCGTACTGTGCTGCCAAAGCTGGGTCCATGACAACCTCTGGTGGGGCAAGAGCGGGCATGGCGACAAACTCCAAGTTAGGGTCTCCAATTAGTTTTCTAGCAAGCCACAGGAAGGGCTTTTCAAAGTTGTAGTTACTTTTGGCAGAAATGTCATAGTACTGTTTTCAAAAAAAGGAAAATTAGTTATTAAAAATCTACTTCTTGCTAGTCGCTTGGATGTTCCAAACTAAAAAAATTCTTCTGATCCGTATCACAGATGTTTAAGAACCCCTTTAACGGACCTGTTACTGTAATTTCATTTTTAATAGAGCAACAATGCAGTAAATGACAAATTTTAAAAAACTTACCTGAAGATTCTTCTTTCGGTGGAAGACAATTGATTTTGCCTTAACTTTCCTATCCTTAATGTCCACTTTGTTGCCACAGAGCACAATAGGGATGTTCTCACACACTCGTACCAGATCTCTATGCCAGTTAGGCACATTCTTGTAAGTAACCCTTGACGTGACGTCAAACATTATAATGGCACACTGGGCTAAAAGAAAGATTCCGGGTGAGAGTTACACACCTAGCATTTCCCGCCCAGACGAGAAACGCTAAGGAGCACGGACTAGACGTCAGGCCATCTCTGTGTCTGCACTCGTTCTCAAGGTCTCTTCCAAGTCTAAAAACCTTCAAGTCACCGGAATACACAGCAAGATTTAAAATTCCATTTTCTACTGAAGTGCGAATGACCAGCTTGCCATACCAAATCTCTCTCCTGTGATACTTCATTAATTCTGCCCCATCCTAAAGTCCAAAGTAGATTAATGATACATCAGCCTTCTGAACAACCTGTCTCCTCTCTTCCGAGTATCTAGGGACCTATTCCTTAAAAGACCCTAAAACGACTCGCTACCTCAAAAACCTCGTTCTTTTGTGTAACACCACTCAGGTCTACACGCTGGCCTGTAAGGAAACCCAATTACAATTAAGACGACAAAGTGCGCACAACCTAACAGTTTTCTAGCTCAACGTCTTTTAGGGGAAAAAATAATCTGTGTTATTTGTGCACAAAGACGGCAAAAGTCATGCAGGAACTCCCGATAATGTCCCGGCACAGGAGTGAGACTCCGGTCCTTACGCATCTTTACTTGCGATGCCGGAGTCACGTGGGAGAAGAGAAAGCCCCAGCTCGTGCGAGGCGCCCGGCGCCGCGTACCTTGGATGTAGTAGCCGTCCCGCAGCCCGCCGAACTTCTCCTGGCCGGCCGTGTCCCACACGTTGAACTTGATGGGCCCCCTGTTCGTGTGGAACACCAGCGGGTGGACCTCCACGCCCAAGGTGGCTGCGAGAGAAGCAGGCGGTGAGCCGCGGGCGGCGCCCCCGACCCGCGGCCCCGGCGGCCGGCCCCCCACGTACCTACATACTTCTTCTCGAATTCACCCGTCAGGTGACGCTTCACGAACGTCGTCTTCCCGGTGCCGCCGTCGCCGACCAGCACCAGCTGCGGGACAGCACGCGTCGGCGAGGGGCCCCCGCCCGCCCCCCGCCTGCCCCCGCCCCCCCCGCCGGCCCCCTTCGAGAAGAACTATGTAGGTACGTGGGGGGCCGGCCGCCGGGGCCGCGGGTCGGGGGC